CTCCGGCAGCTCTGGCTCTGGCAGCAGCCTCAGCTCCTCTTGCCCGTCTGTCGTCCCCAAGTGCATCAACACCTGGCTGCCGGCCAACTGCAAGTCCAACAGCGACAGCAGCTGCTACTGCCCGTCCTCCAACTTCACCAACAACGTCATCCAGTGCATCCAGTCCTGGAGCGCTGACCAGTCCGAGGTCCAGTCCGCGCTGTCGTACTTCACCGGCATCTGCAGCGGCTACGTCGGGACCAACCCGGCCATTGTCAGCGCCATCCCGTCGACCATCACTCTCTCTCCTCCTACGCCATCTGCGACTGGTAGCACGGGGGCTTCTGCCGGATCGTCTGGCTCGACTGGCGCGACTGGCTCGACTGGCAGCACCGGTAGCACTGGCTCTGGTTCTGGCAGCACCGGCTCGACTGGCTCGACTGGCTCGACTGGCTCGTCTGGATCGTCTGCTGGTTCGTCTGCCGGTTCTGCCGGATCGTCTGGAGCGTCTGGAGCTTCGTCTGGAGCTTCTTCTGTCGCCGCTGGTTCTGGCTTTGCAGCTGGTTCTGGTGCCGGTGCTGTTACAACCCCGGCTCCTGCCCCTGCCGCCGCTGCTTCGGTGCCTTGCACGACCATCGTGTACAAGTCGACCAGCTACACCGTGCCTCAGCTGGCCTTCACGACTGTGACGGAGGGAACGAGCGTGACTGTCGGTCTTGTGCCAGCTACCTCTGCCCCTGCTGCCGCCGCTGGTGCTGGTGCTGGTGCTGTTGCTGGTGCTGGTGCTGGTGTTGGCGCTGCTTCTGCTTCTGCTCGCCCCGCCGGCGTGGCTGCTGGACCGACGACGCTCGCCACCAGCGTCGCCGTGGCGCCGACTGGCGTCGCGCCTTCTGGCTCGGTGCCATACGTGCCCAAGGCCTCGACCAGCCTGACTCCTTTCCTTGGCGCAGCGACGCCCTCGGCCTCGGCGGCGTCGAGCCTCTGGCTGGCAGCTGCAGCGGGCATCGTGGGCATGCTGTTTGCTCTCGTTTGAGAGTGTAAAATAATATGTAAAGCAAAGCAAAGCCAGAAAGGAAGACAAGTTAATATTAATGCCTGTCCTGTCCTGTTGACTCCTGTTCTATCCTGTCCTTTTCTGTCATTTACCTTTTGATTTTCTTGTTCTAGAAAAAAAATAATATATTCATCCATTTTTTTCCTTTGAAGCCTTGTTTCCCTTCCCCCCTGCCTGAGTATACAAAGTAGACAGATATGAAACATACGTATGTAAGAAGGGCACAATCAGGAAAAAGCATCCCAGTCTACAAAAAGGAATATCAAGGACATCAAGAGGAAGTGAATGAGATAAACATATCCGATTAATTAGTCTACATAGGTATCTGAGCGATTTGAACTTTAGGTATTCTACTTTTTTTTGGGCACAGAACCCCTTAGAATCCTTGGTCATGGCTAAGAAAGAGTATGTTATGACTTTTTTTTGTGAAATGGCTTCTTGATAACTACAAATATATAATTCCATTTTTCCAGATAGATGGTTTACAAACGCTCATGTTGTTCTCTGCAATTATCCTCCTCCTTGCTTAAGGCTGGTTCCAGTGTTTGCTCAGGTTGGTTACTAGTAGAGAAAGACTGGGATGATTTTAATTGAAAAAAAGAAGAAGAAGAAGAAGACCTCTCTGATTGCTACCTTTGCTACCTAATCTAGACTGCAAATGTAATCAGCAGGCAATAATAGAGGTGGATCTTTCAATAATAATGTACCACGCCAGCAAACCAAAAATGGTAAGTGGCAATGGGATAAGCTCTTTGAGAACACATTATGCTAAAGCCATAAATTACTAGGAAAATCTTTCTCTTTTTTTTTATAGTTCTTATTGATGCTGCATTTGAAAGTAACCTACGTACTCTCTCCGCGTTTGTGGTTCATCCGTGGGGATGGCCCACTGCGAAGTATGGGTGCGTTTCAGCCTGTTCCAAACTCCTCCGCACTGTCTTCCCAATAATACCTTAAAATAAAGCCACGGGGCAGTTGTTACTCTCGACTCTCTCTTCAGACTTGATCATTTTATTCTCTTCCTGCAAGCCCAGTTACTGCTTCTAACAAACAAACACTGCCAACGGAACGAACATGTCGACTGCGGCGCGGGAAACGCTCTTCTATGAAACAGCAGATAGGACCTATGGCTATACCAGCACCAGCTTCATCAAGCGCGAGCGAAAAAGGGAGAGTGAGCAGGGAGAATCGATGCTGAAGAAGCGCCTCCGGAACGAAGCCGCGGCGCTGGATTACGTCTCGAAGCACACGACCATTGCGGTGCCCAGGCTTTTGTCCTATGGGACGGACGAGGAAGGGCAGGCATATATCGAGACTGAGCTTCTGGGAGGGGCCCTGTGCAGTGAAGTCATATATCAATGCTGGATGCCAGAGGGTCGGAAGCATAACACTACTACTGGCGGGGAATGCAGCACCTGCCAGGCCATAGCGACCGCCAACGCTGACCGCTACGTGAAGGAGGTGGTGTTGCCCCAGCTCGAGGGGTTGACATCACGCACGACGGGGCTCAACGGGGTCGTTATCCCACCGCCGTGGGTGCTCGAGTACGACAAGCGACCTCAGTGGGTCTCGAAGGAGTCTGCCGACGAGGACTATGTCTTCTGCCACGGTGATCTGGTCAACCACAATATTTTGATGCACCCACAAACATTGGAGGTCGTGGCGGTTATTGACTGGGAGCATGCCGGCTTCTTTCCTCGGGAATTTCAGCAATGGTGCTGCTCACGGAGCGAGTATGACGCGCTGTTCACTGATAAAGACCGGCTTCGCCGCTGTATAGCGAGTATCGAGGCGTGAGCGGTGGCTACGGGATGGTATCTGGGCTAATAGATAGATAGACGTCGTCCAATATGTGATTATGAAAAGGCTTTATCATACAAAATCGAGTGACTTGTGCGAGTTCTCATGGAAGGAGCACCCGAAGGAAAATGTATGATATCCCAGATCAATCCCCGCGTCGGCCCTTCGCCCCTTCTTCCCATACAGCACCAAGACTTAAAAGTCTAAAAAGACCTGGCAGTGAAAGGAGAAGGGCCCAGAGAACACAGCCGAGGAAAAGAGTCGGACAAGAACCTCAAGTGGGGTTGTGTCTCGCCGCATGAGCACTGCAGTCAGCGGTGCGGCAGGCTTGGAAAGCAGGGACGTTGCAAGTGGCGCATACGTGGGTGGAGGAGTTCATCGTCTGCCTACAGTGCCAGCATGCTGACTGTCTTGGTGGAATGGTCATCGGCGCAGATCCAGTCATGTTGAAGAGTCGAGGAGATTTGTTGTCTTTGAATGCAGAGATTAGCTGAAGCATCTCCCGCGGGGGTTGATTGAGGGGACTTACTGAGTAGTGGACAGTGTTTTTTTACCAAATTAAATTTTCTAGAAGATGTTGAGCATGCAGTGACATTTACCCAGCCCAGCGAGCATCTCAGCTTATTTATACTTGTCAATGTGGTGAGAAGAAATCCTACAAGCTCAATATTATATACGAATGCCCAATTCGGAAATTTTCTTCGACCATGCCAGTACCTTCACCCCCGTATTCCAAAGTTCCGCAACGACAGACACCAGAAATGGTCCATAATAGTCCATTCCGGCCTGGGAAGTCACCCGATGAGTTACTGACTGATGTCGTCTTGCAATGAAGGAATGTTGACGTTGTCGGGCGTCAAGAGATGCTTGTTCCGTTCCGATTGGGTTGGGCGGTCGTCCGCGCCTGCGAATCTCCGCGTAACTCTAACCCTAACTCTGGGGAATATTACCTATGTCGGACTCGACGGATTCAAAACCCCATTATTCTAGGCACGAAGTTGCAAATTCCCAGAAGGAAATTTTTAAAACTTGCTCCTTTCCGTAGATCCAGTAGATCCTAACACTGACGGAAACGACACTATTCTATTACGCATGAAAGCTATATGGTTAAGCTTCTGCTTAATTAATTCCGACGGATTGGATCCTAACCTCCTGTCAGGTACCTACCTAGGGAAATAATGACAGCATTGTTATTGTGCAGTCTAAGCATGGAAGCTATGCCCGTTAGGATTCTACTTAGTTCTGACGGATTGAATCCCTACCTCGAGTGTCGGGAGTGAAACTGTCAAAACAATGATGCTACAGTTAAGCTTCTCAACAGGAGATATTTGGGAATGCATTCCGGGCAGTCTGCGGTGATGCATGCACGAGTAGGCTAGTCGAACAACCCAGACAAGAATCCATGTTGTGCCTCTGATCTGAGGGTGTGATACTCGCCTTAAACTGAGATGTGCTCGTAGATTTGTATAATGAACGTAAGTAAGGACCTGGTGATCTACATACATCATAACAATAGACTTTCTCATATCCCTAACTGGTAAATCAGCCACTCAGATTAAATCCCCTGGAAACCCATATTCCATACTTGATTGGTTTGTTATTCTCTCGATTGTTTGGATTAATTTCAGTAATTAGGATTACACTATAATCGGCTGACTCCTCTTTTTTTTTTTTGCCATTAAATCAGCAATGAGAAAAATCTGTGATCTAAAAATGGATTTTCTCAAAAATCACGGATACAATATATACCTAATACATAATAAATAACGTGGAGAAATGAGCTTTCTAGCTGGAAACGCCGTGGTTATGATCTTAGATCAGATCTAATAATAATCCGCACTGTGGAAAGCAATGTCGATGATTAGGAATCATTCGTCATACCGAAACCCAATCAATCAATGATAAGAAAACCTGGTAGATAAGGCCCATCAAATGTATGTACATACAGTACATAGAATACCTACCCAATCACGTCACTGATGTCCTTAGATATCTATCGTCAGTTCCCACCATCTAGATCTCTGAGAATTTTCCCCGAACCAGGGATTGCGTCCATCACAGCTACAGCTACCCATGGAACATGGATGGGTTGGCTGGCCGGCCACGAGCAAATGATTGATTGATTGATTTTTTATTGTCCTTTTCTTTTTCTGACGAGGGAACTCTCTTTTCTTCTTCTTACATACTCTTATATATATTACCATCTGCATGTATACACTTATATACGTATGTATATACGCGCATCGTCACTAAAATGTCTCTGAAGATCAACAAGTCCTTCCTGCTATTTGCCGTCCTTGCCACCGGCATCCTAACCCGTCTGCACCGTCAAGCCCGGCGCCATGCCCACCTCTCCCAGGCGGACGGCCTCAACAAGCGTCAATAGGTACATACCCTTCAGTGTCTTCAGCTACGCTATCAGCGTCCCCTTCGTCCTCTTCTTCTTCTCTTCGGACTGGACCTCCACTCCACTCCCGCCAACGACGTTTTCTCCACCTAGGTAACTAAGTAAGGCTTCGCTGGATCGACCAGCTCCGGCGACGGTGATGGTGATGCATACATAGTTTACTTACAGGCTGCTAGCGACACGGATCCCTGAACAGTAGTCTTCTGGAAAAAGTACAGCCCAGACGAGGAAGATGGATAAGCTAGTATAGCTATAACATAAGTGCTAAAGAAACTAAAGTATATTGCTTTTTTTTTTGCTAATAACTCCTAGAATAGCTAAAGTCCTGCCTTTTAGCGGCATACTTCTTATAAATAGAAATAGTAAAAAACAAACATTAAATTTTAAAAATACTAGCTAGTTTAAATATAATTTTTTTCTGCTAAATAAATAAATAAATAAATAAATAAATAAATAAATAAATAAATAAATAAATAAATAAATAAATAAATAAATAAATAAATAAATAAATAAATAAATAAATAAATAAATAAATAAATAAATAAATAAATAAATAAATAAATAAATAAATAAATAAATAAATAAATAAATAAATAAATAAATAAATAAATAAATAAATAAATAAATAAATAAATAAATAAATAAATAAACTATTTATTTAGGGGATAAAAAACTTGTTAGGCCCCCTTTCTTAGCAACAGATTGCTCGTACCGATGCCGACAAGTGGTCAACGCTTCTTATACGCAGATATGATCGATCGTAGTTAGTTGTCGATTGATTGAATTGATTGATTGATTGCAGATATGCAAACACTGGGGAGTAGTAATGTAACATACATAATACAAGAAATAATTACTTACTCCGTGCAAATGATTAAATGACTGGTTCAGAACTGGGTATCATGTTGTATTTACTATCTAGCATATCTAGTATGTATATCTACCTATTTACATGAAAGACGTAAAATTATCTCTCATCCTGTCTGTCAGACATCCTCCTCCCACGGCGCCTGAGCCCTTCGATAGCTCACGCCATGCACATACCGGCTCAGCATGGGCTCCTCATCGACACCGCAGTGCAGCTTGTTGTCTCTCCCCCGGAACCAGCCCAGGCCGTAGCGCTTGCCGCGCGCGACGAGCATGGCGCGCATCTCGTCGCTGCTGTAGCGCTCCGTGCCCACGAAATCGTCCAGCATGCGCGACTGGTGGATGAAGGCCAGGATCGACGCGATGGTCGACGGCTGCCGCGGCAGGAAAGGGTGGCGGCGACGCGCCCAGGTCACGGCGCCCGCGCACACCAGGAACGCCGTGATGATCGTCGACAGGCTCGACGACGCGATGAACGACGAGACGGTCTCGTCGTGCAGCGACAGCGACAGCGATGAAGCCGTCACCGTTAGCACGTCCCCCAGGATCGACCCCATCCCGACCAGCGCCACCAGGTAGTGTCTGTTCAGCAGCGCGCGCACGGGGAGCACCCCGTACGGAATCCCCTGGTAGTCCAGCGTCAGCGTGACCTCGGGCCGCGCGTTGCCCTGCGACAGCACGTAGAAGGGCTCCAGCATCTTGACTGCCGATTCGAGCGTCGTCCACAGCTGCTTGATCACCGCTGCGACAAGGATCGGGAGCCAGGGAGCGCTCGTCACGAGGACGTTGGCGCCCGTGTACGTGACGATGGGGATCAACGCCCAGCAGACGGCCAGAAAGACGATGAAGGCGATACCGGGTCCGCGGCGGAGGATGATGGGAAGCGGGTTCTCGACTTTGCGATGGCCCGCGAACTTCTCCGTCGTCGTGGCAGTGTTCTTGATGTATTCTCCCTGCCAGATGCTGGACTTGTACAGCACGTAGCGGCGATGGCGTAGCTTCTTGTGGATCTCGTCGTGCGTCGCTTCGTCCATGCCTTGGAAATCGGTCAGGATGTGTGATTTGGTCGCCATGGAAGCCACGCCCGCGATGCCTTTGGGATCGCTGAGCAGGCCGGACTTTCTCCGCAGCTGGAAGAGGAGAATGACGGCCAAGATGGCGACGGTGATAAGTGTCGCTGTCACGAGACGGGACCAGACGGGGTGGATCCGGACGATATACGTGAAATCACCGGGACACGCGCCGTCCGGACGACAATGAGGGTTCTTAACCGGGGCTACTGACGCGGTTTGCAGTGACGGGGCTGCCGTCGTCGCGAGGACGGCTCCCACCGAGACAATTGCTACTGTCCAGTGATGATAGCGGATCGCTTTGACGGGCACGAAATACGCCCACATGGTGACATAGTCCAGATTGAGCGTTTTCGCGGCCGTGTTGCCAGTCGGCTGCGAGAGCTGGTAGTACGGCTCCAGGCGCTTGATGTCGTACTCCATGATCTGCCACAGGACACCGAAGCAGACCATGACCATGGTTGGGAGATACTTCCAGCAGAAGAACTCGCCCGCGGGGATGTCGGACACCTCGTCGTAGCGGATCAAGCCGTCGCCCTGCTGTGATCGTTGAAAGAGGTATTCCTGCACCGCGGCCAGGACGAGCGAGATGAAGATGAGCATCGCAATGTAGGGACTTCGCATGGAAAACGGCTTCCAGTTGGGCTGCTCCGGATCAGACGGATAGTAGAAGCTTTCGTGGCCGAGATTCGTCTTGGAGCCTTCCAGCGTGCTGAGATCGACCGTCGGAGAGGCTTCTTTCACCGAGACGATCATGTTTTTGTCGTCTGCCAGCCGCTGTCCGTACTGTCGTACCGTCTCACCGAGATCACAGGGCAAAAAGGCAGAGCTGACTCGGAGAGCGCCAGGCCCTGTCCCAGTATCCTTGGACGGTGGCGCAGATTCAGAAGAAAGGTTGGAGGGAACAGGCTTTGCAATCCCGGGTCCTTCGAGAAATGAAATATCGACCGTCACGGCATCCTGCTGCTGCAGATCGTCGAGCTCATGCAGGGTGGAATATCGCTCTTTTCGCGGCGATCGTCGTAGACTTGACGGACTGATCATCTGGAGAAGGAATGAATTGCCGCTTAGATATCGCAAGTCTGATTTCCGGGGCAACGTATTCGCTGTAGGACCTGTCGAAGACTGCGACAGAGTCGATCCATCTTTCATACCAGAATATCCAGGAACTAAACCCGTGGTCTGGGACATCGACATCGAAACTGGGTTCTCATCTCCGATGTCATCGAAATCACTCTGCCTCCGCAACACGTCGCGTCTTGTAGCGTGCGAATCGACCTGCCGTCGAGCAGCAGACGAGTCTTTCTCGTTCTGGACTTGACCCTCGCTTTCGAGCAGGGGAAAATCATCTGCGTATTTGTCTCCTGCCACGGGCACCATAATAATAGCTTCCATCTTATATTTATGTAGAAACATGAGCAATCACGACACGAGACAGCAGGATAACAACCGCGCTTATTGTTATTAGCATGCTGTACTGAAGAAAGCACAGCGTGTTGATGGCGAGGACATGTGTCGACAGTCGTCGACAGGAAGTTAGGTAAAGTACACTGTAGGACAGAAGATCCAATCCGTGATACAGAACTAATATAGTAGAACGTTGATCACAACAAACTGGATAATAAAGTGTAGTAGAATAATATCAGTTCTCGACCTGGCATCTCAGAATTAGAAGTAGTCTGTTGCCCACTTATCATAAGGAGGGGTCGACTCGACTCGACCACTTGCTCCTAGGACAGTCACCCATCATTCCGTTTTTGGGAATACTGTATTTAAACTGTACTTAGTGGGCAAGTCGGCGGCTATCCTCACTCAGCCTCGGGGTGTCAGCGTCAGCGTATGCAGTACGGCGTGTGATATAGTCGACATGACATGGTTAACAAAAGCTGAAAAAAAAACCCATTCGAACCCCTTCTAATTAGCGTCCTAGTATCAGTTAGCCCAGGTGCTGTACAGTGTAGAGCAATTACTCTGCAACAAACCAGAGTTAAGTTAACTAGGCACATGTATCGAACTGTCGAACTGTCGATCACAACGAGATTGAGGTTGAAGCTAGCTTTGCAGCTTGCTTCTAATAATAACACCCTGTATCCAGTATTAATAGCTGCTGTTTCATTAATCACCTGCTACCCAAGTTAGCGTTGTACCTAGCTACTCTGTAAGCTGTTGGGCATCTCATAGGTATGATTCACCGATTTAAGCGCCGCGCTCTGGCGGTGGCTCCGAGTTTCCGACCACTCAGGAAGTCTCATTGTTGTTTCTGTGTTGCTCAGCACGAGTGGGTTCATAGCTGCTATTAGCTTCTGTCAACTTGTGTCGACCTTTTTTTTTCCCTTGGAGGTATGCTGCGAGAGTACTAAAGGATGTGCGACGACTGCTTGCTTGCTTGCTTGTTGACAGTTCGTCCACTACTCCGTAGAGGGAAGTGTAGACAGAAGAGGAATGGCGTGTTGTGTTGTGTTGCCAAAAAGGGAAAACAGTCTGATCTGATCCTGCACTGGCACTGCTATTGCTATCAATCCTACTTTATTCTTTCATTATTCTTTCATTATTCATGGATCTTACGCCTATGTTTATTTAGTTTATTTATTTATTTCTCAATAAGGCTATCAATGCAGATTCAGTCAAACATGCTAATTCTACAGCCATTGAATGCAACAATATCATAACAGGACTAATAACAGGACTAATCGTACAGTACATACAATAATAGTAAACAACACCAGCAGACCTCCCTTCACAGCCTAACATCCCTCAACCCAACCCAAACCTCTGGTTTACTGCGTACTCCCCTGCGGCGACGGATTCGACGTAATCGACTCAGCCGGAAACTTGCGAAACAAAAGATCACTCAACCGATCCACCGGCGCCGTCATGAGGCCAAACGCCGTCTCAAAGGGCGGTTTGGAGGGTGCTTCCGGGTGCGAGCGCGTGGGCACAAACATCTTGGTGCGGTCGAACTGGCGCGCTAGGGCCAGGCTCTCGCTCTTGGCTAGGACGTCCTCTAGCTTGACTAGGTCGACTTCTTCTTCTTGCTTGATGTGGTTGGAGAGGGTGGCCATGAGGGAGTTTGCGGTCGGTGTGAACGAAGGGTCGGATTCTTTCATGTCTTGGAAGAGTTTGAGTTTTTCTTTTATCTGTAGTACATACAGTACAGTATCATCATCATTATTATGATGATCTTCTGATAGATATGTTTTCGGGGTTTGTGACGTACAACCTGATGCTGCGCACGATCCTTCTCCGCCATCGCCGCTCCATCTTCCAGATACTTCTCAAACGCAGGATAGACGATCAGCTCCTCCGAGACCGCATGCCGGACTAGCTCCCAGGTGAACTGGTTCTGGAAGCGTATCCGCTCGTCCGGATCGTCCGACTTGACGATCGCGTTGTGGTAGCCTTCCAGCTCGCGGTGGTTCTTCTTGACGGCCTGGCTGATGGTGAGGGTGTAACTGGCGGTGGTCATGTTGGTAGTAGAGAACGAGGCAGAAACAGTGAAAAACAACCCCCCGCTAGGACAGCTAAAGGTCGGTCTGCTGGTGAAGGCCGTTCTCAACAGCAACATCGGGCAGACCGGGGATCGTTTTTCCTTGACTTGACTTTGAATGAAGTTCTGGAACCAGGAAGAAAGTTTGCATCAATCAGACAGCACGGATCATTGTTCGTTAGGTTTATATCTTACCTATCTAGGTGCCTTTCTTCCGGCTGGCCATATTAAACCATGTCCATGTCTCGACCTGCGTCGACATTACGATGAACAGTAGGTCAGGAAAGCACAGCCGTAGAGGCTATGACTTGCTTACAAATGTTCTATCCAGTATTGTTTCGATAAGAAGAGTTCTGGGTGAGGTACGTCAGAATTATCGCTTAACTTCCACGGTATTAGATGGTGAAAGGACTGTACGGCTGAAGGTTCCGCCAATTAGAGGTAAGAATAGCCTGGTTGCAGTTAAACCTAGGTATAGATATACTCGCTATGTTCGTATCTTGAATTCAGATAGTATGCACTGTTATGTATGTAAAGTACAATGACATCATAATCATAACAATATAAAAGAGGTATTCCTGCAGAACAACACCCATTTCAGCTCTAACCAAACACCAACGCCCTCACCTCGATGCTCTCCCGGGGCCGCGCCCCCGGCGGCGTGCGAGGGTCTTTAAACGCCGAATGAGGCACCCTCTTGTTCACGCCCGGCTGGGTATCGCTACACTTGAGGAACAGCAGTTCATCGTTTGTCATGCCGGACCAGTACTTCCACTTCATGTCGGGATTGTAGACGACGCCCATCGTCTCGCCCGTCCGGTGGGGATACCGATGCTCGACGGGGACCAGGTCGCTCTCCTTGACCGACGTGGCGGTCGCAAAGGCCAGCGGCGACGACTGCACCGGCCCGTTGAGCGGGCGCCAGACGTTGATGATGCGGTAGCGGCCTTTGAGCAGCTTCTCGGCTTCCTCCTGGTCCGGGACGTGCAGGCGCACGCGCCACTCGGCCGCGCGGTCCGTCTGGTCGCTGTGCGCGCGATGCACCGGCTGGCGGGGGGCATTGGGGTTCTCGCGGCGGATGGTGTGGTCGAAGATGATGACGCGGTGGGCGCCGGGGACATTGTCGAGCAGCACGCGCTCGACCTCCGGGTAGAAGACGCGCTGGATCTCCTCGTCCGAGTTGAACGTCTCGTAGGTGGTCGCCGAGCGGACGTTCTTCAGCACCTGGAAGGCGTCCTTGTCGAGCGTGTATTCGTCCTCGTGGCCCCGGATGTCCTCCACCTGGATCTTGTGCGCGGCTTCATTGTAGTTGCGCTGCGGCTGGCCCTCGGGGGGCTTCTCGACGTAGTTGAAGGGGACGGAGCCGTCCGACGGAGGGACGTAGAAGAGCAGTTCCGTCTCGACGGGGCCGCGGGGGATGTAGTTGGGGTCAGCAGCGCCGGTCAGCGTGGTCGAAGTGGTGGTGGTAGTCGTTGACATGGTGAGTAGAAAGATGCGGGAGAGGGGAACTCGTGATCCGCACGATCAAGACACAGCAAAGGAAAAGAAAAAACAATACAGAGACCTTCTCAATTCAATCTTACTGCTCAGACCACGCAAACCACACAGATGACAGTCACACTCAATGAATGGATTATAATGAATGGATTATATACTCACGTTTATGTAGTTTGCCTCCTCCCACCCATCTCCGCCGTTGCTTACAAACGCAGAAAACGCTCCGAGATATTTGTAATCGACCCGGGCCAACCACGCTGCAGGACTTCCCCGCCAGCTGGCCCTGCGGGATCGCCGTGCTGCCCAGGGGATTCTAGTAACTGGCAGAAGACGATCGGGGCTGATTGATTATTGATTGATTGATTGATTGGATCTGCCAACCCAACCCCGGCTGTTCCGGCATTGTCGTCCATTTGATATGCATGCGTATAAACCACACTCTAACTTGACCACCAAGCTACACACCTAGATAGTGCTAGCTGATATAGCGACTTCTTTAATAATCAAATATTATCAATCAGCTTCTTCTACCAGGAAGAATCTTCCATTCGACGCTTTACTCAGCAAAAAAAAAACGAGATTGATTACGTATGACATCATACCTCAATTACGGGATTGGGTTAGTCAGGAAGCGACGTGATTGGATGGCGAGCACGCCATTTGCATCGCAGATTGGGGATTGATCATCTGCAGGGCGTGTACAGAGTAACTACAGTTCTGTATTATTCAGCTCTAGTTACTATAATACTATAATACTGTAGAAAGCAAACACAGAAGAGCACGTCTATGGCAAAAGTGAGACTAGGAAATGTACGATAATCGAAAGAAGAAAAACATATCAAGTTAGACAACTATCAACATGCGAAAACAAAAACAAAAATACACCCTTAAGCCAAACGCCAACGCTGAGACTCCCCCACCCTACCAAATTCCATGCCATGGTCCATCTGTGTACATGCAGCAAGGCCACCGCCCGCCGGTTCGAGATGTATATTAAATTCGTGGGAAACAAAAATATACCAAATTGGTGGACACAACCAATCCGTACGAGACAACCTCGTAGGAGCTGATAGAAAAGCCAACCGGCTACGTTTTCTGCCGCTTCGTGCTGGACCGTTCGTTGCTCGACGGAAACATCTCATACCCGCCATTCTTGCCCGTCCCCGTCGTTGGATAGTATTTGATCCCCATGTCCACCGGGAAGTCGGGATGCAGCATGCTGAACCGATCCGGGTTGGTCGGCACCCCGTCGATTTCGGTCGGCATTGGTTCCACCAGAGCCTCGATAAGACCCCTGTCAATCCAGCTCGGTGGCTTCGACTGTAAGCGCTCCATCCGGAGGCAGTCATCATCGATCTCCTCATTCATCAGCGATGTCAGCGCCGGCGCATTGGCATTCGAGCGCGCATTGTGGTTGGCAAGGATGTGATACGGCAGATTGGGACGGGTCGCCGGCTTGTCGGACAGCTCCGCCAGGAGGTTGAGACCACTGTTGCCGTGATTGCGCGTCGACCGGGTCGCGTGGAAGTTCTGGCTCGCAGTCCGCGCCATTTCAGCACCGCCCGGAGTGCCCCGCTCGTCGCCTGCTCCTTCGCCGCCTGTTTCTTCGGCATCAGTAGTATTTCCATTCGTTGCAGTCCCCGAAGTGTCGTTGCGTTTGGAGGTAGAGAAGAAATGCGCAGTCGCAATGTGGGCATAGTTCGCGTGAGCCGCCAGCTCCTTGTCGGTGAACAGCGAATGGATGCTGTAGGTCTGTGAGTGTTGCTGCTGTGCCAGCGATGCCTTGGCACGCTCTGCAGGCGTCGACAGGCCATCTCGACTAGGAGAGCCAACGTCATCCTCGTGCGGTGCCTTTCTCTTTCTCTTGTTGTTGCCTGCATCTCCGATGCCGTTGCCCAGGTCATCCAGCCCCACGCGATGTCTAGTGTGTCGAGTCTTGCGGTTCCCGTGAATGCCGCCAGGGCTAGCTGGGTTGGTGATGGTGAATTGGTTCGGGTGCAGGAGTAGGGCGTTGGTGTCGGCGATATCGAGCTGCTCCTTTTCCCGCATCAAGCGGGACTTCTTTCCGGAGATGGCCTGGACGAGACGCTCGCGGAGAGTGCTGGCCAGTTGCTTGAACTCCTCTGCGGCAAAATGTTGTCGCCAGGCGTATTCGTGTTTGTAGCGCTCGAGGTTTTCCCGGTGTCGATGCTAGTAAAGGAGGAAAAAAGGTTAGTACGGGTCTCGATCCTCTGCCAGGAATGGATAGACGTACCACGAGCGCGACGATTTCTGCATCCCGATCCTCCTTGATCTGGTTGATCTCCTGGACAAATCGAGAATACCACATGCCCGACAGGCTGGCCATCTCCTTGCCGAATTTCCCTCCACCGACCGTCGATTCAACCAAGCGCGCAATGTCCTCGGCAGAATCGGGCAGTGGCCCCGGCGCATAGGGATCGGCATTGTTGATGAGGGTCATATCGCACTGGAGGGCATGGAGCTGCTGACGGAACTGCGTGTCACGATTCTGGCTGAAGGAGGCTGTGAGGTCCTGCAGGCGCTCCTGCAGAGCAGTGCGCCGCTTGTCCCGTTTGGAGAGAGGAATATTGCCGGCACCCGGAGGAGGACTCATCGATCGGGCGCGAGAATTCAGGCCGCCGCCAGCGGCAGGAGGAGAGGGTGGACCCGGAGAGTATGCCATGGTTCAAACGCAAATGAGGAAGAATGTACAGGATGGAATAATGGCGTGTTTGGCGCTTTCAGAGGCGTGCTCGGAGAACTCGGCCAAAATACCCGAAAATGCCTCGTAGAGTGCGAGGAAATGTGTTATATGACGAAGGACATAGATGCAGATGCCAGGAAATACACAGAGCCAAGGGATTACATGGGAGCAGAAATTGAACGAAGGGAAGTTGTAATCACAGACAGCCAGCTCCGAAGCAGGAAGAATGAGGGAGAGCGGGTGCCGGCGGTCATTCGCCCACAGAACAGCGGAGATTGTCTGCCCAATGCGGTGTAGTGCCGGAGATACGTTAGCCCGACCGTGCTGACATCACCCGCATGTGCCAACGCCCTCACCGCCTGCGCATAATGCCGTCAATATGGAAGGCGGTGTATACAGTAGCCAATAGGAATGGATTCTTTTATCTCGGACACTTTCAGCGTCCTCAGTGAATGGATTCACCTGCTTTTCCTCCTTGTCATTCTTTTCTTTTTCTTTTGCCGTTATAATAGAGTGTTCATCGCTATCTCAACGGAGCTATACCACGCAGAGTTGAGGCGAGGATACACAAAGTGGGTCCTTCGTGGTCCGTCTTTATTCAAACACATCCGAATCTACTGTCCATGCACCAAGGTCATAATCACCATAGGTGAAAAGTTTTCATTATGTACCCTGTATCAAGCTGTGTATCAACATTATGGGTATTAACATCCAATGCTATAGAATGTAGCATATCTATGTCAGCCAAGACCAAAGACCGAACCCATGAAATAGTGATCCCAATGCCCTGAGCGCCGCCCATTTCCCTCAACATGTTTTTTTTTTCTGCTCTAAAAACAGAAAGAGAAATAAGAAAAAGGTTTTCCATGCGCCGTAATTATTGCCAAGCCAGAAAAATGACAATCCTAATGAGATCGTCGAATCACAAAGACACCCAGTTCCACTCCTTCCCGTGGCCCGACGTCGTCTCCATACGGTCGTTTCTTGATGCCATCGAGGATTTCGCCCAGGAGCATGGCTGACGTCACCTCCTTATCCGCCACGACTAGACTGTTGGAGGATACCGGGCTGTTGCCCGGAAGGGAGCGTCCGTTTTGCCAGTACACGCTCAGGACATCTTTCATTCGGGACCGCTCCTGCTGGATGTACCATTCCGTCCACAGGTTGCGGTCCAGAAAGGCAGCGCCTCGCCCGGCTTCCACCACCGTGAATCGGGAGGACGGGCTGCTGATTTTTTCGCACAGCTGGACGAGATTCGCCCTCATGGTGTCGAAATCGTCCATGCCGTTCACAGCGGCCAACTTCCCCAGGCTCCGCCCCACATCGGCCGACAGCCCGTTGACCACCACCAGTTGACGCAGGAGAGGATCGAGGATTGGCCCGAGATACTGTGTTTTGAACGTCATCGCGCCGCGCTTTGTTGGGTAAATCAGGAGCAGACTGCCTCCGTTTGGCGAGAGCTCGATGAGACGATCCATCAGGATTGACGGCCGATTGTGAGAGAAAAAATCTCGATATTCTTGCGTCGATGACGGAGGTAGATACCGTTCGACGACAGATATGTGGATGCTGTAGGGGGGCACGACGGGGAAAGGAAAAGGGACGGACGGGATGGTGCCGCGGAAATCATGGTACGCCGGGACGGGGGTTGCACTGCAGAAGACGGTGGAGTTGAAGTAGTCGTCTCGGTGTGCCAGATGAGAAGGGGTGCTCGGCGGGGAGGTGGGTAGATTGGAAAGGCTGAACTGTTCCGGCACCGCATGGGTGACATTGATGTAGGGAGACTGTCCCGGTTGCAGGCGATCCTGGATCGTCTGGACAATGGACCCGAAGACAGCATTCTGCGTTGGCAGCTTCACATAGCGGTCTGCAGCGCGGGGATACGGCAGGGTCTGCGAGACAATGCGGACGGCTTCCCCGCGGGGATTGGAGACAAGCAGCGACGAAACTGAATAGCGTATTGTCAGCACCGACCAGACAAAAACAAAAAGATAAAAATAAATAAATCAAACTTACTTGTCGCGTCAATGCTGTTGGCTAGCCAGGAGCCCGACTGCTCTCCAGCCATTCTTTCATCCTCGTCAGGTGGACGGCCGCTCGGTTTCCGGTCGGTGGGGCTATAAACATCATCCCGCGTCTCTGATGGAGAACTGCTCTGCCGGTTTCGACTCTCGTCCATGTGTCCTTGCGGTTTCGGTTCGCGATTATTGATGTGCGCGTCAAAGATGGGGGCGTCTGACTGGGGATTCCAGCTGACGTGCTCGTCGTCGTCTGCTGGGGGGGTCAGGGGAAGCGAGGTGGCATAGTCACCACGCGACGAGTCTTGGACTGTCTCGAAGACCGGGGGCGGGCCTGAGAGGGACGCCCGTCCCGGACGCAATGGCGATCTCTGAGGAGAATGGTCTGCGGACAGACTGCGAGGATGGGCTTTTTGTGGGATCGAAGTCGAGATGCCCAGGCTCTCGAACGACGGAAGCTGAAGAGGGGAAGTTTCTTTGGATACGAAGCGGGAGACAGGAGACCAGGCCGGTCGTAAGGAGCCTTGAGATGCACGGCGGCGTGGGGTGGACGGTGAAGGTGAGATGCCCACAGCGGGCTTGGACCGGGACGTGATGGCAGATGAGTAGGACATTGACCTGCTTGATTCACGCTTGTTGGCAACATCCATGACCCCCCGACACATTGGACGACGCTCAGAACACACGTTTGGACCAAACGCTACTACTGACGATGGCGACTGCATAGTCACATCCTCAGAGGTAGCGGAACCGTGCCCTCGATCGCCGCCAGGACCATTCATCCAGCAGGTTATCAGTTCTTTTGTTCTGCTTCACCACACGGTCGCCGATGGACAGGAGATCGAACGGAATCGGAAGGCCTTGGAAATGCTTTTCGAGGACAACTGCTTGACGAACGACAGAGGATCGATCGCGACGACGATTCAGCCGAATTGAGCGTTCCACTGCACGGTAGACCCTGCACAGTCCCAGAGCGTCCTCCGACGGGTCTCAATGGCGGACGAGAAGAACGGGAATGAGCTCTGAGTCTTGTATCGCGGTGGTGAGCGGAGGCAGGGATCTCCAGGCAGGCGAGAGGGACTGGGTCAGCGGACAGCAGAGAGAGAGGGGAGCAGAGCAAGAAAACGCAGGCGTCGAGCAGCGTGTGGGCGGGCGAAGGGCTGGCACTCGGCCAGACCTCGCCTGCCGCTTAGAGTTGCTGCCGCTCCTTCCTGTTGCGAGCAGCAGCTT